TCTTTATAGGTACACAGGTACAATATATATAGACGATCAGTGTAGGTCGTCGATATCGATGATTGGCGRGGGGAGGGACATTTCTGCTGATCCCTGTTTCAGGGTTAGGTCGTGGCAAATAAAAATACTGTTCAGKATTTCATGAATAATCACTGAACATTTAACGGATCAATATATTATATATAGTGAGCTAACATAGTCTCTGAACATAGTGTTTATAAGTGTTCCACGATCGGTCCATTAAATTTTATTGAACCGTTAAATTAAAATTATGTTTTCATCCAACCCACCATTATTACATAATTGTTGTAGGCATTTGATTTTTAATAATACATTTAATAAAACCACAATTTTTTCATATTTTGATATATGATTATTGTATATAATAATTTTCATAATTTAATTATTATATGCGTCTTATAGACGTATAGGCATATATAATTATTATAGACGAGTAATATAGTTGGTATCTATATATCTAATGATCAAATAACGTCAGTTGTAGTTGTTATATTGAAATTGAATAATAATAATCTGTATAATATTATGAATATTATTCGACTAAATAGTGACAAAAACATAATGTAAAACATTATTATTTCACTAATGTATTATATTATTCAAGTTTTGAGTATTATTAACACTGRCACTGGCGTAATAAAAATATGCCTACGACAATTATTACCTATATAAAAAATAATCAATTATTACTAGGAATGTTTTTTTTTTTTTTTACAGGACAACTACAGGGTAATCCATTTATCTGGGATTATGTTTTTTCTAAAACCGTATAATATTTGAATTTTTTCCACCCTTATATTTATCGATGAAACCACTATCAACTTTTGATTTTCAAATGGTAACATATAATAAAAATATCACAAATTTACGTTTTAACATTTTTATTTTTCGTAGATTGGTTTACGAGATACAGCTCCTTAAAATATTATTATCATATATCATGTTTATTCAAAAAAAGTTATAATTTTCTTACCCACCGAATTTTTTTTCTGTGTACCTATGACCCTATACGACAACATAATATTAAATAGTAAATATAACGATATTGTCCGTTACTATTAATCTCTAAACGGTTTT